CACTGCCAGTCTCTGATATGTGGATGCTGGGTTCATTTTATGAGTCCTCCTCGACCAGTGCCCTGTGCTCTGCTGTGCTATTTCCTGTGTCCTGTGCCTGGAGACCGGAACGGAATGGGGCCAATGCAGCGCTAATGCCTCCTTCGGCCACAAGTCGAAAGGGTAAAATACTTGCCACCAGCCGCCAGCTGCCAACTGCCACTGCCACTGCCATTCTGGCTCTTCTGCCTCTGTCGATTTCCACATACCGTATGTATGGGACATGTGTTGGAGTGCGTGTGCGTCTGTGGAATTTTTGGTAGCTTGAAAATTAATGGAATTCATGGCTACAGCTTGGCCCCTGTCCAGCCGGGCAGTCGGGCAGGTATGTGGGTCAATACGAGGCGCCACAGACTGCGACCAATGTTTTCATTAGGTTCAAGGTTGCCTTGTCTTGTGGGTGCGTGCATGGAAATTAATAAAACCAAGCTCGGCTCTCGGGCTGACTGTGACGGTGGCCCTGTACCTGGTTCATGGTCCCTGGTCCCTGGGTCCCTGGATCCCTCGGTTGGCACTGTCATTGGCAGGCAGTCGGCCAGCAGGGAAAGCGATTCCCTGGCTGCGGAATTTCATTAGCCAACTTTTCGCCACAAAGTATGCTGAAGACTTTTGCTGCCTAACGCACCTTTTGAGGCGCACAATAAAATTTAATTTCCGTATTGCAGGAGTGTTCGTGGTGGGGGTGGGATGGGGATGCTGGTTTGCTTTTACTTCTATTTAACCATATTGTTGTCAGCCACTAACCCGTTCTCCCATCTCGCACTTGGCAGGTCTTTCGGTCTGCCATCGACTCGTCGTACCTGCAAATGCTGCAGGACTGGTTGATCTGCACGCTGCCAACGTTCCTCGCCCAGCCGGAGCAGCAAGGTGTCTGGGGCCTCAGCGTCATCTTTTTATCCGCTTCCATAAATCTGCATTTGATTAAACTATTTCCGCTGGTGCTCGGCATCGGGGCAGGCAACTCCTCCTCCCCGCCGGCGGCCGTGTCTACAGCGGGCGCGGGAACAGGTACGGGAGCGGAGTCAGCGACGGCGGCGGGCTCATCCACAGCGCCCCGTAAATTGGGTCAGCACGAAATTGCATTGTTCGTGACAGCTGCACAAGATTTCCATGCGAAATTGAGTGGCGAGCAGAGGCAACGCTTCCGCGAGGCCTTCAGCAGCTTCGAGCAGAGTCAAGTCTATGGCCGGATGCTGCAGCGCTTGTGATAGGGGAATGCCGACAGCGCCGAGGGGCACAGGCACAGGCACTGGCTCAGCCACAGCCACAGCAATAGCTATAGCGATAGCATATAATCATCCTGCACTCTTTGCCAGGCTATTTATCTTACGTTTAATTCCAATCGCAGCATCGAAATGAATTGCAGCGGATACGGATTTGGCAGCGGCCCACTCAGCGGCAAAACTTGCTCCAAAGACAAGCGCAAGCGTGAATAACTAATTGCCCCGAGGAGGTCCCCGAGAAAGTTTAGCCGGATGCCCTGGCCAGCGCCGGATATGCAGCCCTCCTGCGTCTTTGCGTCCAAGGGTTTTCTTCTGGGGCTGCTTCGCAGCAAAACTTTTTTAATAGTTGGCGAATACAAAATTAATTTATGCTTTACATTATGTGTAACTAATATTTAAATTATTGCAAACGAATGCACGCCGCACGGCCCTCACCGCCCCGCCGCTGCCATCCCAAATCTGGCCGAAAGTTTAACGAGGCCACTAGCGAGCGACCCGCAATTAATTCCCGTGGTCGAGGCTTCGACAAGGGCCCCGGAACCAGCAGCCAGCAACCAGGCAGGACGCGCACGGAAATTATGTTCTTGTCAGTTTTTGGGGGTAAAGTTTATCATTTATTTATCATGACGTGGCTTGTTAGGCAAGAAAGAAGTTGGCCGGCCGGCCAGCCGGACGGTAGTGGCCATTAGTATGCGGGCTATCCAATTCCTGGTTAATTTCTAATCAAATTACTTAAAAATTCCATTATGCAAACAGCCCTACCCCTCGACACTAATCTTAATCTTAATCAACCACTTGCTTGTTTATTCCAATTGTAATCAATATAATGCGTATATGATATCTTGTTTAATAAAATAAAAATGACTAATATCAAACCTGCATCGAATTATAATTTATCAAATGGAAACCGGTAGGACTTGTTCAATATCTGATTCATAAAATGCATTTCGGCTTTGCCAACTTCATCTCCCTCCAAGTACAGCACTTTGCCAACTAACCGAGAAATTTGGAATGCGTATTTGGATTGCATTCCGCACTGTATGCAAATCTGTTTGAACTTTTGCACTTCCACTTCTACCTGGTGGCGCACGTAACGATGCTCCGAAGAGTTTTCTGCTCACCAACAAAGAGCATTCAAGTTGACAAAATGTTGCACCGAAAGTATCGAACAAGAACCTCTGCACGTGGCAGAAAAAAACACACACACAACTATTTGGGAATGGCTAAACTTTCGGATGCCCTCGGATAACAAAACCCTCTGCTATGTTTTCAGCTGTAAAATCGATAGACAATGCAGAAATTTCGAGTGTTTAAAAATATTTAAAAACTCGAACTAAACGCATCGTTTTGCGTTCAAGAACATTGGATTACGATGATGTCAGAGATGCAGTCCGCTTTGCAAATTCTCAATAAAATGGTTGCTTCTTTTGACTGGTATAAATCGACAATAGGTAGAGTCCCCGCAATCGCTAAGAATTAACTGACTTATGGCTAAAATCGAGCTTCAAGAAGTCTAGTAATCTAGGATAGTTCTGGTACTTGGGTACCGGCTACTACAACCCCTCTGGATATACCCTCCCGCCTGAAGAGTACCCCTTAAGGGAAATCGGCTGCATGTGTTTTGCCTTCTACCGGCTGCGTATGGTTTTTGTACTGAAATTGACAGATCAACTTTTGCACGCGTAGTCGGTGTGTGTTTCTGTGGGGGCAGGCAGGAGGACGGCTTTGTGTGGATGCAAAAGCTTGCCGGAAATTTGCCAGTTCAACGCGAATTGACAAAAAAAAAAACCAGCCGGTTCAAAAGGAAGTTGCAGCCCACACCAAAATGAACTGCAAAGCTGTTCAAAGTTGTTTTTCTGTTTTGGCGCGACCACATTATGCAATCGAGCAGAGCACAGCACGGTGGGTGTGGGTGTGTCTGTGTCTGCCTCTGTCTCTGTCTCTTTCTTTTGCTCTCTAGCTGTCTCTTTCCGTTCTCTTGTTTCGCCGATGCCGAGTGAGTGTCAAGACAATGTTCCCCTTGTCGCCATTATGCCGCACGCCAAGAGGCAATTTGGCCAATGCTCTTGCCATAAACTGCAACATTCCGGCTATCAGCATTTGGTTACGCTTCATTTGGCCAAATAACCGTAACGGGCCAAGGCACAGATTGCGGCCCCGGCCCCTGCCCCAGCCACAGCTACAGCTTGGCAGCCTTTCGAGTCGCGTGCGACTGACCGAGCCCAGGTGGGCCGGACCGGCACAGCTCGTGTTCTCGCGGCTCCCAGTTGCCATGACCTACGCATAAGTCCAATGACTCGAATGGCGGCCCTGCGAAATATCGAGCTAAGAGCGTGTGTTCCATTGCTCGCCGTTCCGCTCTCGCTGGACGCGCTCTCTGCTGCTGTTAACTGTAAACTCACCACCTTTCGGAGTCGCTCTCTTCGATGGGCCGCTCTTAAGTCTCTCTTGGAGCTGCTCTCTCTCTCGGCTGCCAGGAGTAGGTCAGTAGTGTAACAGTTCCATTCCCATTCCGATTCGTTCCATTTGGCGCTGGTGCCCGACAGCCCCACGTAGACTCCGACTCGGAGGAGTTTGGCTGCTGCTTTGTATGCAGTCGGCATACACGGATATCCCACAATTTCTTAATACTCGGATGGCTTTAAACAGAGCAGAGAGCGGGTGTACTCGGAAGGGGGGTAGTGGGGAGTGGGAGGGTGCCAACGACAACTGTTACACTCACAGTTATGATTATTGTTATTATGATAATGTCAGCAGTGGTTGTTGTTGTTCTTGTTGTTGTTGTAATTCCCGAATTGTTTGGCTATTTGCTCGGTGTGGGAATGACTTATCCCAAGTTTTGGCCCAGCGAAGTGTGCCAGCCAAGCCTGGCCAAGCAGAATCGATCCATTGATTTTCCAGGGTTTCCCATTTCGCATTTCCCATTTGCCCAACGAATGTTGACACCTGTTCCCCCAGTCCTGCTTTGCTAGCTAGCCTGTGCCTGTTCTCTTCTGTTTCGTTTCTGTTTGCCAGCCACACCTTGGAGAAGCTCATTTGAAATTTTGATTACATTGCCATCAGGCCGGAGAGGAACCTGTCAGCGACTGATACGCATTAATTACGTTACTCTCGTGCCCGTACCTGGTGTAAAAAGCAACGCCTCGACACTAGGCGGAGCCGCTTATTAAAATTGAATAAATTATGCAAAAGTGCGCGTGACAGGCGGTGGCTGAGACATAGGCACAGGCAGAGGCAGAGGTTGGGGCAGAAGCACAAACTCCAGCCAATACACGCCACGATCCACTAGATGGACACGGCATAATTAATTCCACTTTCCTGCCGCCACCGCCTCGGGGAACCGAATGCAATCAACGTCTTGAGTCTGCTTCCTTGGCCAAAGTCAAGGTTTCGGAGCCATAACATCATGTGACCGACAATTGCTGTTGGCTTAAGCTGGCTAATGGTTAGGTAAACCGCAAATCTCCGAGTCATGGCGACCAGCACTAGACGGAGTCACAGCCCAAGCCTCAAGTGATTGTCAGCGGGGGACTCTGCTCTGGAAATGGAGCGCCAATGCAGCAGTTTATTTCAATCCATATCGATGGTTAGCCGAGTGTTTAAACTGCGTGAATAACTGTGTGAATAGCATTTATTACAGAATGAACATTCAAATGCCACTGGTCAAACGGATATACATAGTTTATTTGGTTCCCAAAATTCAATAAATTAACACGCGATTGTGTTTGTTAAATCTTTAATTGTTTGCACACAAATTGATTAACAAATTCTCTTACATAAATAGTTTTAGCTGCATCGAGTGCCATATACGGGGGAGATACACACTGACTGGTATAATATATTTGTGCACCGAATACATGCGTGTGCAATAGGTATAATATCCGTCTAGGACACCATATAATCTATCCTTAGTAGCCTACAATAAACAATCCACTAAGCTATGTGCTATGTACAAGAAATGACTTAACTCTAGCCATTCGAAAATGGGCGCCATTTCAGTGCCCGATGATAGCTTTGCTTTAGTCCCTGGGTCGCCGCTAATTAAGGGCACATGTGCCGTCCACATTTACTTCATCACTGGCCTTCACTTCCACTGGCCTCACTCAATTGTCAGCCGTCGGTCAATCATAGCGCAGGATACTTCCCTGGGTGTCGTTTACATTCCCGTTGTGGAGGTCCTGCCACAGGATGTCTTGCGAGGCGGCGGCAAGTCAGATGTGTAATTCTGATATCGATGCGAACAGTTAATGGCCTGCGGAAACACCAGAAACAGAAACAGAAATAGAGAGAGACTGAGACTGAGACAGAGGCAGAGACATGGTAGGAAATGATGGAAAATTGGCAAAACTTAATGCTAAAAATACATAAAATACCAACTGAACAGCAAATTCGGAGAATTCTGGGACCAACTAAATTTGATTAATGATCTGTTTTGATGCACAGTCACTGCAATGGGGAATCCGGGACGTGGGCTATTCCCTTGTCAAGGCCCCACTGGTTGGGGATGGTTGCCGTCGCTTTGCATTTGAATTATTAGATTTGATTCAATATTCAATTATTTAAGTGGTTTGAGGTGTTGAAATGCCAGCAGAGAAACGGCGACTGGCCTAGCAACCAGCACAGAACTGGAACCCAAACCCAGAGCCGCTCTGGGACCCCGATTGGGTGGGGTGATTGGGATTTTGGATTGGATTGGATTGAGCGGTGGGTGGGGTGGTGAGAGTTTGCATATAAATGATTTATGAATTTGCGCTTTGATTGAACTGCCTGAAATTGTTGATTAGTGCCTCGTCATAGAAACAACAACAACAACAGCAGCAGCCATCAGCGGTCTGTGGAGTCTCCATTTGTAGGTTGAATGCCTCCAGGGAAGTGAGTACGCCCCGGCAGGGTGGGCAGGGGGGTATGGCATGGATTCAGTTTTGCTCATTATTTGATTATATCAAATCGGCAGGATACACGGCACAGCAGCCGAATGGGTTCAAAATTATGAGGGGAATAGATTAAACTCAAATTTAAGAAGAACTTGTTGATGGGTGCAATAGGTTTGAGAGTGAGTGAGTGAGAGTTTAGATAAAGGTTTAGATGTAGATTTATGTGCAAAATAGCCAACGCTGTCTTACTGTAGTATATTCGAAAGTGTTTTCTCCTTGCTGCTCTCCCGATGCTGCATTATTCAGGAGTTTTCGGACGATAAAGGACAGCCAGCTCGTGCCGACCATCTGGAAAACAGACACAGCAGACACACGCTGACATATGAATGGAGGTTTGACTAATGGACGTGCCAGGCAGCTGGGCAATTAGTCAGATTGACACTCTGCCCACCACGTGGATCTGGAAAATCTAAAAAAGTTCAGGCACAACACGCTCCCAGCTAGGTCCTAACTTCCAGCTCCCAGCTCCCAGCTCCTAGCTGATAGCAGCTAGTGCCAGCAACAATGGCAAACAACAGTGTGCCAATTTAATTAATGTAATTAATCTAATTTAATGACTTGACAAACACATCAATTAGCGAAAGGCAAACCAGCCCATGACCATGACCGGAACACAATTTATATGCAAAGTGCCAAAAGCTTTGCACAAAATGAGGAATTTCCCCCGAAAAACAAGACTCACGCACCGCAGCAGCAGCAGCAGCAGCAGCGGGAAAACAAATTAAAATATTAAAATTAAGCCACAAAATGATTGAAAGGAAATGTTGTATAAGTCTCGCTCGCCAGTCGACAACCGACAAGCGACAGTCGACAGCCTTGCCGACCATCGATGACTCCAATGCCTCAGACAGGACCAGCTCCTGCGGCTCCTGTGGCTCCTGTTTTGTGTCTTGTGTGTTTGTCCCTAAAGTAATTAAAAGTGAGTAAAGCAAAATCAGGCCCTTAGCGTGGGAGGAATACAGTGTCTGTCTCTCTGTCCAGTGATTTGCGCCCCGCAACGTTTTTTGTGTTTATGCAAATGGCCGCTGACCAAAAGAATTAATGCGTCCCGAAAGTGAGTTGAATTGGAATGAGCCCAAAAACTGAACTGAGCTGTGGTCCAAGGTCTGCTCGTGCTCCCAGTCCCGTCCCTGCTGTCTCTGAGCTAAACACCACTGGATGCCAATGCCGACAATGGCCGTCAATGAATTTGCATAGAATTCCATAAAAAACCACCCGAAAGAAAACAGAAAACCAAAATGGAAAGCCTGTAATTTCGTTTTCTTTCAATGTGTTGCTAATTTGGGACAGTCTTTAAGTGAAATCAGTACAATTTCGGGATATATCACGTGAGTTTTGCCTCTCAGCAATATGTGTTCATTGGACTCTGCAAAGGTATTCCAAGCGATGTTTGCCAGATGTCTGCTTCGAATGCCACTCCGATGCACTTCACTAAATGCTGAAATTTGGAATGTTTTTTTCTAACATAGACTTTAGGCTGGGAAAATTCGACAGCATATTTGGGAAATATTTCCCAGAAATAAATGTGCAAACGAAGCAAACACTACTCCGATGCACTTCATTAACTGAATGCTTGGAATGCAATATTTCTGATATATCCAGACTACAATTATATAGAATATTTTTGTGTTCACGACATCCAAGACTGAAGTAGGGAGCGAGGGGGAGCTCTCTCTTTGTGTTAATGCACAGCAGCTGCGAAATGTTCTCGGGGGGAATGGCTCCGCCCTGTTGCCGGAGCTTTATAAATAGAGATGGACGGTCAGATGATGATCTGCGCTGATCCAATTTGATGGCAATGAATGACTGCTTATTTCGAGAATTCCGCTGTAAATTTCACGTATTTATAACGTAATTTTCCGATGGCGATGCTACTGCCAATGATGCTGCGATAAAGGCCAAACAGAGTTCCACCCACGCGGCGTATGCGCGTTTTTCGCACTTAACTCATTAAAACGGCCGCCTGCTTGCCCAAAATTTAGAGGGGAAACGCGCCTCCAGTCTCGCTATGGATTCTCGCTGCTTTTGTTTCTTTTGTCTGCTGTTATGGTAAATTATTTAATTACATTTTAGATTTTTGATTTCGAATTGAAACTTTGGCACATTAAAAAATCTCATTAGGATAGGGAGAACGGGAGAATGGGGGAATGCGCTTGGGCGGAAATGAACGTAAATGCTTCTGGCGCCATTCGCAGTGCCATTTCTGTCTACCACTTAATAAATCAATATAAAAATGCAAACTGGGTTGAGTGCGATGGCTCTCTTGAAAATTATGACAAATAAAAAGTGGCATAAAATGAAAGTGCAACTGGAAAACAATGCTCTGAAAGTGCCGCATTCAATTCATCAATATATTGACCGAGCACTCAAATGCCAGGCCATTGAAGAGCCTTCCAGTGGGCCAGGCTGGGCCAGTGGGCGGGCCAATATCCTCGCCACTCACCTTGTAGAAGGCCTTGCGGAAATTCTCAGAGAGAAAGGCGTAGAGCAGCGGATTGATGCAGGAGCTGCTGTACGCCAATGTCTGGGCACAGATCTGCATGATGATGAGGAACAGGCTATGCGCCTCATAGACATCCAATGCCTTCAGCAGCAGGATGAGCTAACAAAGGAGAATAGAAGAGAATATTAAATGCAATTGATGAGCAAAAACAACACTCAATTATGCCACTTACTTGCACGGGCAGCCAGAGCGAGGCAAAGGCTATGACCACCACCACGACGAGCCGGGTGACCCGCTTGCGTCCACGCTGCGACTCCTTGGACATGCGCACGCCGCTGCCCTGTCGCCAGAGACGCATGATCATGCGCACATACAGCCCGCTGATGATCATCAGGGGCAGCAGATAGGTGCTGATGAAGAAGCTCAGCTGGTAGGTGCCGGCGTCCAGCAGATCGTTGCTCGTAAAGCGGCACAGGGCATAGGTGATGTTGGAACTGTTATCGTAGTGAACCTGCAAAGGGCAATCATTGTGTGAACATGTATCGAATATTGCGCATATGTCAAGTTGGTTGTGACAGTTGCATGTCAGACAGCCAAACAGCCAGACAGCCAAACAGCCAGACAACCCCCGCAGCCAGACGTCGTAAATAAAACTACGAGTTAACTGTCAAACGAATAGTTCGGACAACGACAACTAACTCGCAATCTGACTTTGTTGCTCTGTCGCTGACAGTTGCCTGACAAATGGGAAAAGGGAAGTGGAACTGAGAATGGTAATTCAACGGGTACTGGCACTAGTACTGGCACTGGCACTGGCACTGGCACACTGGTACTCGGATTGGGGATTGTTCTATTGGCTGGACTAGACCAGCCGTGCTGACGCTTAGGAGGGTCATAAACTGCCTGGCGTATCGTAAAAATATTTTGCAGCTTTTGTATACAGCTTTTTGTTTACAATCTCTGCTGATTTCTCTTCTGCCTCGTTGTATGCAAACATATAGAAAATCGTATTTAAAAAATCTTTGCCTTAATGCCGAAAATGCTTACAAAAATGTTTGTTTATTACCGCACTATTGTTGTTCTTACACTGAACGAGATGTTGGCCCACAAATTGAGTTCAGATCTGCGCATCGTCAAGTCAAGTGCCCAAGGCTGCCCGCCCGAAGACAAATCATCAGCAGAAGCCCAACAGAAGCTGATTTGACCTCATTGTATTTCAAATTGATTGACTTTAGATATTTGACAATGGCTTTTAATGCACTAATGTCGTTCTTTTGGGGGGAACTCTTTCCCGAGCAGCTGTCAGTCCCATGGCAGAGAAATATAGCCACAGTGCGTAAGCAGACATATGCGTTTATGATTATTAGTTATTGATTTCTAATAAAAAGATAATGACACACACACACACCAAGTCAGACTGCCACAAGTATCTCCATATCTGTGTGTGCTGCAGACCAACAAATGTAATATGGAAATAATTAATAGCAAACTGTTAATTAACATGTTGATCAAACATGACTTAATTATGCCTCTTTATCGCATCGCATGCCCCTCTTTGTATTTGTATTTGTATTTATATTTGTATCCGTGTGAGGGGCGATAACAAAGCAGAGCGCACACATGAGCATTCAATTTGACCAGATATTTTTCCAGCTTAATCCCTAGACAAAGGCCAACACATAAGCAAACAAACCAGCGACCCAATGCAGCTTTTGCGGGGGGGTAGACAAACATACCGAAGCGTGAAATGCCATTTAATAAAAAATTAGCTTACAATAACAAACTCTGGACGAAGACCCACTCTCCGGCTCGGTATCTGGAGCAGTCAATGGACCATTTCGTAGATAAAATAGCTCATCGCCAAATCGACGATTATATCCGTTTAATTACGCGCGACTCTTTCACTATGCAAAGGAGATTGGCCCAGTAGTCTCAGGCATGCGTGCGGAAAACAAATCAAACACAGAAACAAGAAAGAAAATCGAACTACGAAGTCGAAACAGAAAATACCCTCAGGCTAAACTATAGACTGAGATACTCTGCAGTATATAGCGAAAGGTGTGACTGAGTAACGAAAATTCTTCATTTTGTACGCATCAAAAATCTGGCCAAAATCCATCTGCCAGAGTAATCAAAAGTTGGTCGCGTGTGATGTGGTCTCTGGTTTATTGGCTGTAGGGGAATGGGAACATATAGATAACTTGATATTGCGAAGGAGGGCATGCAAATGGGAGTGGGAATGGAATGTTGCCCCGTATGTGACGTCAACAGGAAAATACCCAAGTGCAAAGCTTTGATTAGCTGATGTGGCATATTGAATGCTAACCAAAATGGAGCAATCGAATACCCATAGAGAGCTGTTCTAATCATGATAATTTAGAGGCCTCTCGCTGAGAATTTAATGAAATAATAATTGATATGATGACGGACGGAGCGCAACCATAAGCAAACAGAACAACATGTACGACTACGAGACGAGTATCTATCTATGTATATATCTATGTATATATGAGTATTTGGCTCATCAAAGTGTGGCGTTTATTTAACAGTTAACTTGTTCCTCGCACTCTCCACATTGATCATAAAGCCATTAGGGTCCGGAGGCTGCCAACTGCGCATTGGCCGCCGCCGCCGTCAAGGTCGCGGCCATGGAAGACATTTATCATACGCAGTGTGCACCCAAAGTTTCCAAGTGCAAAGTTCCCATAATGACCACTTGTTACGACCTGCAATGATTTATGAATATTTGAATGTTCGAAAGGGGAAGGGGAAGCCATACAAAGCAACAGTTGAAATTATACAGCCCCTTGTAGCGTTGGGGGCTGCGGGGCGTTGGCACTGCGTGGGGGGGGATTTTGATCTTTGGGACTGCCTACGCCAGTTGGCAAGTGTTTCTCGCTGGCTATCTGCTCTATAATTAAAAATTTATGAATTTAAAATAGCGAATTAGTAACAAAAACAATTCGGGCGCCCATCTCGCCCATCTCGCACTGTAGCAAAATCTTCAATATAAACACACACAAAACCCAGAGCAACATAAAAAGAGGCAGGCCAGGCAACCTTAATAGAAGCCAAGTGAAAGCAAATGATTTGCATCAGGATCATTGAGAGGGGGCAATTGGCTCCACCATCGAGCGGATCGAGCAGATCGACCATCTATATCTGTAGTCCCGCGGCATTGACGTGTAGCTCTAGGAATCTAACGAGGTGACGATGATGGAAAGCAATAAATTTGCCTGGCCTCTGTTATTCACAGCAAATTTAGGCACAGCAGGCCCCAGTCGAATTTTGCCCCGGCCCCCCCTTGGAATCCGCGTGGGAATACTTACCACCACCTCGTGGGCAAAGGTGACCGGAATGGAGATGGTCAGCACCACAGTCCACAGGGTGAATATGGCTATCATCGTAATGTGCTCCGTGCGCAGCATCCGGGAGCGTATGGGATGGACGACCGCCAGGAAGCGGTCGATGGACATCAGGACGAGCGTGTAGATCGAGGCGAAGGCCGTCACCACAATCAGGTACTGGGTGCTGCGGCACCAGAAGTTGCCGAACGGCCAGCGTGTGGTGACATAGTCGGTGGCCGTGAATGGGATGCAGATGATCACGAAGAGGAGATCGGAGACGGCCAGGTTCAGGATCAGCAGATTGGTGGTCGAGCGCATGTTCTTATTGGCCACCACCACCATGATGACCAGCAGATTGCCAAAGAAACCCGTCACGGCGATGATGCCGAAGAAGAACGGCACCAGCCAGCGCACAGTGTCCTCGATGGACACTCGATCCTCCTCGGCGAAGAAGGGCTCCGGGGTGACGCCCACTGCCGCACTGGTGACGTTTGTGGCGCCAGTGACATTCGCCAGGGATATCGTGATGTTCTCCATTTCGTTTGATTGTGATTGTGATTGTAATTGTAATTCCTTTGGTGTTTGGTGTTTGTATGGATTTTTTTACATTTCACTTTGATGGCACTTTGATGGAACGACAGAAGATGGAGGACATTTTCAATTCCCCCATAGCCTTTGTGCTGCGGAAATTTCAAGTTTTATGCTTTACTTTTTTCTTGTTTCGCTTTCACAGTTCATCGAATTCAAATAACAAATTTCCAATTAGGAGATTTTCACAAAGCAGCCGCAACGAAAATTCAATTATCATCCGCAATATTGCCACGACACGAGCAGCCTGGCACCCTCAGAGCCCTACTGCACGGAGCACGGAGCACGGAGACCGGTCGGAATCGTTCATTCGTTTCAAGGTGGACAAAGGCAATAGCAATCACACCCACCCCACCCCTTCCACTTGCAGGGAGAGCAGAGAGCAAGCGATAACGGTAATTGTAACAAGGTAAGACAACAACCAAAGGACACGAGCACACCAGAAAGGAAAGGAGAAGGCAACGGGCGAAAGGTAGACAACACTGCCACGTGCAAATCGGCGCCGACGCAGCCAAAACTGTGTCGTGTCACACCCTGACAACCGGGCACCTCGCTACGATACGATACGATACAATACGACACGATACGCGATACGCTGCCCCCAGTGCCGAGTGGGGGGGACGTGGACATCCACGCTGCACCTATACCATAAATTCAATATGATGTCCGTTTCTCCGTTTCGGGCCGGTTTCTGTTTTCGGTTTTAGGTTTTTCGGTTTTTTCGGTTTTTTGTTTACGGTTTCCGTTTTTATGGACAAAACTAATGGCATAACTTTCTGCGTTGCCAAACAACACGTTCCACCGACAGGCGGCTGCCTCCTCAGCAGAATTCGCAAAGAGATATCATTTCACTATGGCAAACACTAGGGATAGCAGGCAGCATCGGGAATTTAATTTGGATTTTGGGTTCCGTTCGATTGGTTCTATTTGGGCCAAAAATCAAAAGTCCAAACTGCACGCGTTCGTTTCCAGCGCTCTACTGATTGTTGGATGGTCTGTGCCACAGATGACTACAGCGACGCTGCCGCTGGCTGCCGGAGCAGCGGCTGAAGCAGAGGCAGCGACGCCTGGAACACACGGCGTACACTTTATGTGGAAAGAGTGCTTTGGGGGGCCATTCCCCAACTGCTGGACGGATTGTTTGCTCTCCACTGCCCCCAACAGTTGGCCTGGGGATCGTTAAGAGCTACAACAAATGGTCACCAATCTCTGCCGGCTCTGGATTCCCGCATCCCGCTGACACTGTTGCCATTGTGTTGCACAGCTGGAGGTCTGCGTGGATGTCGTCAGCTTCAGCTTCAGGCCTCAGGCTCAACGTCTACGTCTGCCGCACAGCTGGCGTCTCGGCCAGCGTCGCTGCTCTGCGTGGCAGTTCTTTAGTACTTTGCTTAATTTCTCTGATTAACTGACAGAGGAGGAAAAAAAAAGCAAATAAAAAGCACAGGCACGCGTTTGGTTCACGCCCCTAGGCAGCACTTTCTCCGCCCCGTGCCGTATATAATGTCTGCTGGGGCTTATCGGCCTGCTCTTGTCGCTCCCCACTGGCTTCCCTGTGCCACCCCCAGGAGCGACTGGGTTAACAACGTTTACACCTTTGGACGGACGCCGGGGGACGTCATGTCACAACATTATATAACCGCAGAGCAGAGCAGAACCGAACCGAACAGAGATACAGAGTCTTGTCCTAGCTCGAAGCCTCATTTACATGCTTTTTATTGCCACTGCCAGCGCACTCACCTGTCACCTGCAGACGTCGTAGCCAGCGCAGACGCCAGCGCCAGCGTTGGCGTTGGCGTTGCCGTTAGCGTCACCGTCAGCGTCAGCGGCAGGTGTGGCCCCATCAAATCTGCGGCCGAGCTGCTGTCTCCCGGCATTTGTGTTGATGGTGGGGCATGCCTCGGTGCGCCCCTGACGAGGACGTCGCCAACCTGATGAGATTAAAAGCGAATTAAGCGCCATGAGCAGCAATAGCAACAACAGCAACGGCAACGGGCCATGAGAAACAAAAAATAAACGAAGTCTTGGCAAACAGCAAACAGCAAGCGGCATTATGTTTATTTAATGCCTGCGACTGTGAACTTAATGAAGTCTTTAATTCTTAATGCAAGTTCATTGCCTATTTAAGTGTCCAACGGAGCGTGGCCATGGCCGTGTTCAAGCGGAAGTGGCAGTGGCAGTGGAATGCGGGCAGCTTAGGTCCTAGGCTGCCCCAACTTGATTCATTGCATATTTTGCGAGTGCGAAAAATTGAACCGGAAATGCCGGCAACAACAGACCAAAAACAGGTTGTACAGCTGCAGCTGGTTGTGTGTTGTTTGTTGCGTGCTTAACAATTTGAGCTTATTTCGGATCAGTAAATACCATGCATAATTTCCACTCTTAATGCTCATACTTTTCACATTTATTTTTGGTCCAAAGATTACGCACAACAGGTGCGCTTCAGCAGCGTTCCCACACATTGGCAGCTGAGTGGGGGATTGAAATCCTCTCAGTTCATCATCTGGCGACCAGCAGTAGCAGCAACAGCAGCTACAGCAGCAGCATCAGCTTGTTGTACACGAACATTCGACAAACAAAATTGAAAGCATTCTTCCAGGCGCACACTTAAATTAGCATCTGAATAAATGGCAGCCAGACATAAGCGCTTCAAACTCTTCAAACTCGTACTCGGAGAAGTTGATCCCCCCATCACCAAGTTCCACGACTCCCATCCCCATCCATCCTCCACCCATCCCTCATCCAACAGGAGCAACAATTTGTGTGATGTCAGAAAACTTTCGACGTGATTGAAATGCTTTTTAATTTTTCATCAAAATCATTTCATTGCGTCAAAAATGTTTGGGGATCCGTCGAAGTGCACAAAAGGCTTCCCACATCCATCCATCCATCCATCTACATATATACCATACTATATGTGTATGTACATATGTACTCGTATAGAGGGAATAGCTGAGACCGACACGCCCTAACTTACGGGGACACTGCGCTTAACCTTTTTGCGTGGGATTGGTTCATTTTTGGCATAATCATGCGACAGGCATTACAGGGCTCACCAAGGCGGCAAGGGACGCAAACAGTGGATCAACTGGTTGGAAAACTTGTCAAATTTGATGCGACTAGCGTACAACTGATTTGGACCCTACTCTGACAGCCTAAGGTACCCATCAGCATGAGCCTTCACTTAAGTTTTGAAAGTAGACTAAATTTCTGGTCTTGCGAAAGATGGGAAGGGTCCCATGGTTTCGCAGTCAACTTTTGCTGAAAATGATGGATTATCGCTTTTTTGTGCTAACGTTCACATGTTTTTATTTACCAGTAAGTATACAGCATCCACATATACATACATACAAACATATGTATATATATATATATAGCTTTCCGTTTTGGGTGCAGCTTCCATTCCCTAGAAGGCTGACCCTTTTTGGGTGGAAGCTGTCGCCACTGAGGGACGGCGCTAAAGAATTAATAAATGTAAATCCGCATGAGAGTGCCTGATACTTAAGCCACACAAAAGACCACACTAATCGCTTTTTTCTGTTGTTGCTGTTGGGTGGGTGGTTGAGTGGGTGTGTGGGTGTCTGGGTGTCTGGATCCCTATTCATCCGGCAAGGGGAATGGAAATGGGATTTGGATTTGGATCCCAGTACCAGTACCCCAGCACCAGCAACCAAAGCAGAAGCAAAAGCAAAAGCAGAACCAATGGAGAGCGGGCGACATAACTTTTACACAGCTTTTGCTATTTAATCATTCAAATTGACTTTTTTCTTTCCCTGCCTGATGGACGTTAATTTTGAAATTCCTTTTTAAATGCTGCTCTCTCTCTCGCTATCTATCTCTCTCTCTGAGCAGCCCCACATCCACCCCTTTGGCTGTTCCGCCTCCGTGGGCCGGCCGGTCGGTCCGTAACTTCGCTTTACGCTTGCGGCTTATAAGTTTTTTAGCCTTCGCTCATTTCATTTTTTTACGAATATTCTTTTTGTTTTTCCGCTGGCTCACTTAGAATGCGCTGAGTTTGCATTTGGCTTTCATTTTACCATTTTACCGAGAGCGCAGAGCGCCTTTCACTCCGATTTTTTTTTTAGTTTTTTAATCAAGATGTTTTAAATGCGGCCTGCCGACCGGCCACCCACGCCAGTGAATGATGGATTCTTTTTTGTCTGATTTTGCCCATCCTCTGCTCTCTCTCTCTCTCTGCTGGGTGGGGCAAAGTAAACAGAAAACAGAAAACAGAAAGTTGGTTCGTTGGCTCGTGGGTTCGGCAAAGATTTATGCAGATAATAAAATGAGTCTTCAAATGAATAATCAAGTTTTCCATGGCCTGGGCACGGACTGGGGACTGCCACTGAGTCTATGACTGTGACTGGGGGCGTATCCCTGCTGCCGTTCGTCTGTTCATAATTAAGGTACGTCCTTGAGCCGAGCGCTGGCCACTCAATGATAGCGCAACTTTTTGAAAGCAATACAAAGCAAATGCCTGAACCAAATATGGCCGAATGGCCAGAGCATTCAAGTCAAGGACTGCACCATTTTAGCCACCTGCTGGAGCTGATGCTGGCGGGCATCTTAAATTGGTCGAGGAATTTAAGCAATTACCTGGTGAAACTTTATAGAAAATGAAATTTTCTAGTGCTTCACCGTTTTATTACCGACTCAGAGCGAGTCCAGTTCCGAGTCCGGGTTATTGTGTCCTGCAGCTGCAGGTCCAGGTGCTGGACAATAAAACGCCGCAAACAGCGGGGCGGCCATAACTAAACGAAGGCACAGGGGGGTGGAGTGGTGCGGTGGGTCGGTGGATCGGTGGTCATGGCCACAGTCAAAGCTGCAACTTGTTAGACTTCCTTGCTGGAGAGCTACGTTTTCTTTTCTTTCCTTTTTTTTGTTTTTGTTCTTATTTAGTTCCATGAAAAATGCGATTTTTACGCGCCGCTGCAGCTGCCACAGCATTTTCCATTGTGAGGGAAATACCACTCGGAGTCGTAGCCCCAGCACCGAACTTGTCAGCCCTCTGGACACACTTGTTGCCATTGTTGAGATACAAAATTAACTTTTACGCTTTATTACCGCAAGAATGGTGAAACAAAACAAATCTTAAGTTGCAAGTTGCACTGAAACTCAGTCGCTCCCTCGCCCTCTCTCTCTGTGTCTGTCTCTGTCTCGGCAACTGCCACACCATGAACTGAACTTCTGCTGCTGTGTTTCTATTTTGTTTTTGTTTTGGTTTTGCTTTTTGTCGACTGCATCCGGAGGCCATCAAAATTGCCGGAAGCGCGCGCCGGGCAGTCAGTGGCATTGTCATCAACTCAATTACATTTGCGCCTCCTTGCCCCGGCAACAATTGCAGCGAAGGAAAACCAGTCGCGGCCCCAGTCGCGGCCCCAGTCCCGGCCCCAGTCCCGGTCTCAGTGCCCGTCCATTGTTCCCTGACTGATGACAGAGCCTTCTAAACAAGCCGCACAATACGCACAGCGTCGCTGGCTTTTATCTGGCCGTTCCTCTGCTCCATTGTGTCCCGTCTCGTGTGACGAATGCGACAGGAAGCGCCCGGAGTCTTGATAGTCGTCCGTCCGTCCGTCCCCGGCACAAAGACCCGGCACAGCAACAGCAAAAGCAACAAAAAAAAAATGCCATCCAGCAAGGGAAGAGTTCTGCACCTTTCCGTATATCTATGGCGCCATAATTTACTGCTTCCCCCGTCTGCTGGTAATCTATGGCTGCCGCTGCCTCTGCTGCTTCTGTTGCTGCTGCTGTGCTGCTGCTGCGGCGGCGGAAATGTTTCACAGAGATTAGCACAACATGTCAGCATTTTGATTTACCTGCATGCCACGAGATTTGCCTTGCCACAACCCCACAACCCCCCACCACCAACCCCCAATCCAATCCCCCACGAACTAAGCTCTTCCTGTCAGAGGAGAAGACTCCTGCTGCTGCTCATCGAATCAGTAGCGGTATCATTAGCCAAGTTTATGTTTGCTTCTCTATTTCCAATGCAAATTGAAACGACTGGGAAGCTGCCAGGGACCGGCAAGGGCTCAGCACCAATTGATTCTTGAGCGGATTATCCAGGCAGAGATGCGTCTCGTTGTGCACCAGCTGTGTGCCACGTCGCAGCCAGCGCTGTGCCTTCTTTCGGGTCTTGTGCCTGCTGCAGGCATTCAGGGTGAGTCGAGGGGGCTGTGAGTTCTCCTCCACTCCGAGGCAGCGTTCTGTTGCAGTGCTGAGCTGCCCGCTTTGGCGCAGCAGTCTCCAGTGGGTGATGTCGTTGAGGTAGCAGCTGTCCAGGATCACTGGCAGCTTCACTTCACTGTCCGTGTCCATGTCTGTGTCCGTGCGTCGGGCATGCAGACAGCGGTGCCCATTCTTCAGGGTGCCCATCGCAGCGAGCTCGTTGAAGTGCGCCCTGACATGAAGGATTCTTTTTGATGAAGTGCCGCGCCACGAATAACTGTCGGCAGACAACTCACTTTAGTTCGGGGCTCACATGCCGCAGATACCAATCGAAGCGATGACACTGGAGCTCCAGCTTCAGCTGTCGGGTGGGGTGGTCCTCCTCCTGGTCGGTGGGGAGCAATGGAATCTGCCTGGCCGCCGGCTTGAGTACGTAGAACATATTTTTATACTCGTCCAGCCAGGACTCGGCTATGATTTTTGAGTTGCTGCAGGACAGGGAGTGGAAGCGAGAAGGGGATTCAATCAGCATGCGACAGGAATGTTCATATTAAACGGATGCTGCGCTGAAATAAATTGAAAAATACCAATCGTCGATGCGTCCATTTCACACCTAAGCCACAATACCAAGCCACCCAAGCCAATCCCACACCCCCTCAATACCTACTGTAGATAGGTGGCCAGGGCGGCGCTCGACTCGTGGTCAAACTGCGGCGGAAAGTCGAAGGCATGTCGAGGGCGAAAGATGTGTCCGATTCGACTGCAGGGCACGATCTCAATTTGTCCACCGCAAAGCCACAATTTAATGGCTAGCTCGATGGATTCGCCGCCCCAGATCTGCAAGAGAGAGAGAGAGACGAAAAAGCCAGCTAGAGCAGTTGTTGTAGCTGTGGCTGTGGCTGTGGCCAGCGTCACTCAGGGTGTCACCAGCACTCTGCCGTGGCCACTCTGACATTAGCAATTAGCGCCGTTGGCACAAGTTAATTGGGTTTTGCGCCCTCGTCCTCACCTTCAGGCGGGAGTTGAAGCCACGCAGCTTAAGGAACCAGTCGCGTGAGATCATCAGAACGCCCCCGGCAAAGGCCGGACTCGGGTACGGCTGCTCGGGGGCCTCCTTCGCCGACAGCTCGCGCTTCAGCCAGTGGAAGTGCAGGCTCCAGTCGAAGCCACCCTTGAGCAGCTCGTTGCCCTTGCTGTACCTCAAGGTTGTGGGGTCAATGGGGTCCAGCAGCGGGCTGACCGCCAGCGTCGCGTTCAGCGCCAGTCGATCCAGCAGGGGCTCCAGCCAGGCCTCGTTCACCTCGCAATGACTGTCCAGAAAGAGCAGGAAGTGGCCAGTGGCCGCCTCGGCTCCCCTGTTGCGTGACCAAATCAGCCCCTGTCGCCGCACATTGCGCAGGCAAATGAGCGTCAGGCGACCCCGGGTGGCATACACTTTGGCCATCAGCTTCTTGAGGTCGTCCAGCAGGGAAACTGAAATGGAAGAGTGTAGAAATAGCTGCAAAGATTGACGTTCAGAGACCCACCATCTTGACTTGCATCGTCTATGAGGATAAGCTCGTGCAGATAGTCCTCTGGCGTGCGGCTGATCAGGGATATGATCGTTCTAAGGAGCATGGAACGGGCCTCGTTGTGGAAGCTGATTACGACGCTCACCTTGGCGCGAGAGGCGTGCGGCAGGCTGTAGGTGCGCTGCGAATCACAGCTGTCCAGCGAACAGATCATGAGCACAGATCAGGGATCCCCACAGCATCCGCTACTCACCTCTCATGTCGAGTTCTGGGCAGCCATCGTACTGCACCCACTCTATCACTCAGCTGCAGATTGTACTGGTAAAACGCCGCCGATTGTTCTGGTGTGTGCGAAATGAACTCTCGCCATCCGAACAGACGTCTTTCGTCTTTGCCTTTGCCATGATCCCCCCCGTCAAACAGCAGCAGCTAAAGGGAATTCACTGTAGATCGACTCATTATACATCAATTCCAAGGTATACTCACTCTGCCCGTGAAGGTTTCCCTCTGCAGCAGAACTAGCAGGAACACAAATTGGCAGACAACAAAGCACAGGGCACAGATCATGCACAAGTGCAGTCGCTGAAGGGGCATGCAGCCGGACATGGCCTGCAGGGAGAACTAAAGCGATGCCACATCGCGACGCAAATGTTGGCCGATCGATGCGGAAATCAGACCGAAACTAAACCGTTTACAATGGGCTCTCACGCTTCGCCTCCACTGGCACCACCTACTCGTCTGACTGCTTCCCTTCCAACCAAGACTTGTGTTGTATTTTTCGATAGCATTGATTATGTCGTCACATGCGGAGGGTTGAGCGATTGTATCGAATGCCACATTCGTGACCTGCTCTTTCCCCCGCCCAGCACTCGCCCCAGACGGTGTTCGGTGTTCGGCGCTCTGTCACACTTGTCATTGATAAATGCTCGATAAGTTTGGCAAATATTTGTGTGCAGCTCGCAAGGTGTTAATTGCAGCACACGGCACTATCTATTACCCATGGGCTGTCATTTCGGTAGATGGTGTGGCAGAGGTGGGTGCGGGGGTTTGTTACAGATAGCCATTGGCGTTAGTTTCTTATCCAAGTGATAAAAGAATTGTTGATGAATGATGAATGATATTGATACGTGTATGAGCCACATTTCATACAGGGTACATGTGCGATTAAGGGTATATTGTATGTATCAGAAAGATCGATGTTTTCAGCACCATTTTGACCTTGGCCTTACAACGTAAACGATTCGCAACAGGACCATCCGCGGCAAATCGAGATTTGTGCCTGCTCTTTGAATTTCCGTTTTGAGATGGCCGTCAATACTGGACTGTATTCAGTCCATTAACATATTACATATAGAAAGCATGAAGCGTTACGGGGAGATTTTGTACGGTATGACACTGCCAACTATGGTGGATCTGAGATGTTCTCAGGCGTCCTGCTGCTGACTACGCTCTTTAATAATGCAAAAGCCACTGTCGACTCAGACGTGCTCCAGCTGAAGATTTTGTTCCAAAGAGCAAAGGCAACGTATGAAAACGACCGAATTGATTCAGCAACGTTGGCCCAGGTGGAAACGGCTCTGCAGATCTCTTTGCAGGCCGAGCAGAGCCCCCATACGGTGACACTGCGAGATCTCGTCGGGCACTCTGTTAACCACAAGTAGAGCCAAGCTATACCGTAATACCCAGCTCTACCACAACAAAAGGTCCCACAACCCTAGGCAGGTTACGGGTTACCATTCAAAAAATCCTCCATAGCGTACGAACAGATGTTAAGAAATTACGAGTCAACCTCGGCATAGCGCAACCAGAGTGGCTTCTGGAATCGTTTTTACGTTTATAAATTTTAATTTATTTAAATTCAACATCCAGATGCCAAAAATCGAGTGCAATTATGTCGCAATATCATCTAAATCCTTAATATTTAAATGATATTGTGAGTGCAAAATATATATATTTATATATATATATATATTAGGAATCAACATAATTGCTGATTGACATTTCCAGGGTATTTTCAGGCATGGAAGGAGAGGCTTCTTCATTTGATTTCATGCATTAATGTTTGCATTATATGTAATTGCATTATTTGCCCTTTTCCTGATTTCCTGATGTGTAAATGAATATTTTGCAATTCATATTTTTGCCTGGGCAAAAATTAATTGACTGTAATGATTTGCACTATTTTCCGACATTATCCCACATTCCACATTCCATCAAACTGCCCACCCATTAGCGCTGTATCGCATTCTGGTTCGGGTTTGTTTTATTTGCTTTTCATGGAAGTAATTGCTGTTGATTCGCATGCGAAACATAATAATGTGATAGACCTGCAAATATAGTATGTATGGGCTATAGACTGTAGCCTGTTCCATGCCAATCAGTTTATGGCAAATAAACTGATGCATCGAGGATTAATATGGAAATGGCTCTTTGTCCATTCAAAGAGGAGTCACAGTCGGAGTCAGAGTCAGTGTCAGATCGGAGTGAATTAAATTGGCTACCAAATGGCCAGCACTTTCATTGAGTTGAGATTAAGTGGTCGGGGCCAGGGCTGCCTGGTTGCCTGGTTGCCTGGCAGCGACTGAGCCCGCTGTTGCCTCTGATTCCGCCACTCGCATATTGGCATTCCCTTTTTATGGCCTTTTGCTGCTGCCATAAATATTTCAAAGGCCAGCGTCGGTTGCCATGCACACACAGCACACAGCACAAAGAGGAGAAAAGGCAGTGGTAACAACTGCTATCCACACACTAGACCATTGTCCATATTGGTCAGTGTCTGTCCGTTCTCCGTGCTCCGTTGTTTGTTCCCCCCCTGACCCTTTTGGGCCATACTTCGGCGGGTGTGCTCTGCCTCTGCCTCTAGCTCTCGCTCTGATGTGATTTTATTTAAAATTGTTAGGCAAAGCGGAAGTAACTCATTCAGTTAGCAACAAAATCAGGCGCCCTGTTTTCTGCCCTCACCCTCGCCCCCATCCTGCTCGGCTAAATTGGAGTGTGACTTCCGCATTGCATTAGGACTATACTTAGTTGTTAGTACTGTAGTTGTAGCTGGAACTAGAGCTGTGGCTGTGGCTGTGTCTGTGGCTGCCGTCCAGTTGCTGATTGACTTACGTGCCTCTCGTTTTCCTCTCCGTTTTCGGTTTGCCGTGGTCGATTTTTTGCCCAGTTTTTACGTGCAGCGGAAATGCATTTTTCCAGTCACGTTTCCTCGGGCCCAGACAGTCGCCGGAGAGACCCCATCTTTGGCTCTGGCTTCAGCTGCTGTTCCTGGAGCCCCTCCCAAGCCCCTCGCAGTGGAGGTAAGACATACACCCCCACTGAGTGGCAACGACAACATCCAAAGATTCTTTTGTTTTGTCGGTTGGCGTTGGCGTTGCCGTTGCCTGGCATGGGAATTTATTAAGCCGGGCGTGATCTATGCTCTCTGGCTGTGTGAATTAAAGTGCCTTGTAATGGAGGTGGATCTTCCTTCGGGAGATGCCTTCCGCAGGCGTCGCCCTAATTGTATGCCAGGTCGCGTGTGCAGCTTAACAATTAATGGAGGCAGACGAGCCAATTCACGGGCTTTCAGGGAGACAACATTCGATATTCAATATGTTTTCAATTTGCCATTTTTCTCGTCCTTTATCAGGGTTTTTTTTTTCTTTCGATTTCTGTCGCTTTGCCTTTGGTCGTATCAAAGGCAATCGCAAAAGCCGTAAAACAAATAAAAATAAAACGAAATTATGCCAATAAATGAATTATAAGGCACACGCACCACGCACCACGAGGCGTATACGCAACGCTAGTCAAAGAAGCGGGGCGACAATGCCTAAGTGGCATGTAAATGTCTGCCAGAGTCTATACATACTGCACACTCGTGTCTGTGTGTAGGCGTGTGTTAGTGTGTGGCCATGATTATTATATGGCCACTCACACACACATGCGTGTTTCTGTGTGCGTTATGATAATGTTAACAGCCTCCGACAGAGGCACAGGAGCAGGCAGGCAGCAGCAGCAGCAGGAACAGGAACCGGCCCACTGCCAGTCTCAGGCTTCTAAAATTTTATTAGCAAGCGGCTTATGGAACTTTGAAAATAATAACAAAAGCTTCGCAAAAACAGCAAAGGAGAGGGCGAAGAGAGTGCCAGTCTCTCCCCTTCTCACACTCTCTCTTACTGTCTCGCTTTCCTCTCCTCTCTCTCTCTTGTTGGCCATAAAGAATATTGAGGAAATTGCTTTCTTTGCACTCGAAATGCTCCGCAGAGCGACCAGACCCGAAGCGAAGCGACGCGACGCGACCCGGCCAGAGTCTGCCGCTTAGCAGGGTGCACTCATTTCGAAATTGTTGCGTATTATCGTAAAATTTTACGCACACTCAGCCACACACACACACCCACACCCACACACTCGCACTCACACTCGCACGCTCACACACATTCCAAGGACGTGCGCACACATACAAATGCGTTCTGTGGGTAACAGTTTTTTCCCGCTTTTCTTTTGTTTTTCTGGATCTCGTTTTCACTTTGCCGGCGACCGCATTTTTCTTTTCAAATATTTCCAAACCCGACTGCAGATCCATGTGTGTGCGTGCGTATCTGTGTGTGTTGGGCTACAACAATTTACAAAAAGATAACAAAAGATTGCGATTTGTTTATTGTGCCGCCATTTTATGAACTGTGGTCGCGCCCTTGCATTATTTAGTTTAATTTAACAAAGTGCTCTTGCCATAAAGTGATGTGTGGCTAATTCTGCCGGGCCTGCCGCCTGCCGTCTCCCCAGTCCACAAAATGTAGAGGAGAAACACATTCACTTCAACAGGCAAAAAACGTAGGCTAGAAAAGAAGGCTTACTTTTGATACCCTGCTCAATTTATGTTTAATATCCGCAATCAGGTCTCCCATATAGTGTATCCAAAAAGCCGTCCAAGCATTGAAAACCTCTTTGGGGGGTACGAAAAAAAAACGGTGCACATCGATGGAAATATAATTTCAATGATTTTCCATTTCAATTTTAGTAGTGGAGGCAGGATGTGGATGGCCAAAGAGAAAAACCATTTTAATGATGTTTACACAGCTCCCATGCACCTGTCAACATCTCCCACTCCGTGTCCCCCCTCTTCTCACTCACTCTCTCTCTCTCAATGTATACGCCTCGCTTTCAAATTCACTAAGCCCCAACACCCTACCCCGCCACTGACTGTGTAACATTTTGCGCTTTATTGCGATTGACTAGAACTTTTCACTATGCCCGACGGAGTACTTTAGTTGATGACATTATCGCTGCAATACAAAAGGTTTTTTCCTGCTGCCACTTCATTTTTGTGCTCTGTGTTTGTCAAGTTTTTCTTTTATTTTTCTTTATTTTTGCTTCTTTTTGTTGGGGAAACTGAGCAGGCAGCCGAGTCCCTGGCCTGCGCCTTGGCCTAAGCGTCTGCGCCTTTAATGCTTCTTTTGGGGAACTTTGATTCGACGGCGGTAGCAATTTTTCATTAATTTGATTGAACATCAGCCGAGCCAGGCGAAACGGAAATGAGGCAGAACAATTTAATGTCATATTTTCATTTGATCTTCAGGAGTCTGAACTTGCGTTGGGGGAATCATTTACAACAAAAAAAAGGTGGCACTGAACCCTCATCTACGAAACCTGAAAATCATTGAAAGACAAACCTGAACAATGTCGTGGCATCATTTAAGTTTATTGTATATTCATGGGTATAATTATTTGAATTTGATTAGAATATCTCTTTGTCGATGCCCGAGAGTCGAACCTGATTCAGCTTCTTGCTGATGTACCGCTTCTCGTCGAGCAGCCGCATATAGACATCGACACTGCTGGCCTTCGGACAGTTGTGCCCCAGAATATTGATGCCACAGAAGCTGTTCTTGAGCACATAGGGCAGGCCAAAGTTGCGCTGACATTTCGTGGAAGCCTGGGTGTTGACCACGCAGCTGGTGTACTTCTTGATGACGATGCCATTGGGATCAGATAATTGGCTCTTGCATTTTTCATCCATCACCTGGGCGGCTCGATTCTTCCGCAGGTGGGTCTCGCGGTGATTCCACGTCCACAGCTCGACAGCCTCGCTGGACTTGATGCGATGCTGGCAGAAAGGCGGTGGCCTTGCGTACTGATCGCCCAGCTCCGCTCCCAGCTTGATGAGGGTAAGCAGCTCCTCGCCGTCTTTCGTCGTGAAGCCCGTCGCCGGACTGTTGCTGGTCACATTGTAGCGGCTGCCATCGAACAGCTTCACCAACATGGACGTCGCGTCTATGAGGCAGGTGCTCACCGTCAGCACATGCTGCTTGTCGACAATGATCCCATTGCAGAAGAGCTTCCCCTGGAACGTTATTCGCACGACATAGTCATCCAGAGGGATCTGGCCATTGGTGCTCTTCGCGGTGGTCGATCTGGCCTTGTAGCGGTGCTCATGCTCGAAGGCATAATGTCCCTTATGGTAGCCGAAGTGGGGCTGCCAGTCGTCCTTATGGTATCGCAGCGCGTGCTTGTTAATACGGTGGTGGGTGGTGGTGGCTCCGCTCAAGGCACAGACCAGGAGGAGCAGCTTGCAATGCAACATCGCTGCCATCTTCGTCTGCATCTGTTGGATAACGATTGAAATACTTTGCACTGGTTACGAGACCGCAAAAGATTGAGCTGGATAATGGATTCGTTTTGCTTTGCTTCAAGCGTTCCAGGTTGAAGGTAAAAACTGTACCACTGATTGCTACCCATTCGAATATATTTGTGCCCACTTTGGGGCCGGTATTTCGCAATGCTTAGAATAAATCATTGTCCAGCTTGGCGTTCTTAATGAACTTAATTTTCTCCATCACATAGTCTGCTGCATTGTAGACCATCTTATAGACGTCGACCCCGAAGGGTTCGGGACAGTTGTGACCCATAATATTGATTGCACAGATCTTTCCATCGTAGACCAGGGGACTGCCGATGGTGTTCTGGCACTTGGTCGAGTACTTGGCGTTCTTCACGCAAACCATCGAGTCGTGGATCAACGTGCCACTGGGGTCTTTTATGCGCTTGCGGCACTCCTCCAGAGGCAGCACCTCGGTGTTCTGCGTGTGGACACTGTGCCGGGTGCGTATGTAGGTGGCCAGCTGCACCACGAAGCGGGGCTGCAGCGTGGTGTCGCACAGCATGGCCTCGCTGTTGGTGACACTGGAGTTCGTGCGGGCAGTCTTCAGTTCGAGGATGGTCAACAGCGAATCCTTATCCACATGGAAGTGCTCGCTTTCGTTCTTTTGCGTTACTGGCATCACCTGGTTCTCGAAGTTCTTGATTGTGAGCTCCTCAATCTGCACATTGACGAGGCAGGTCGCCGCCGTGACGACCAGGGTATCGGTGATGACGGTGCCCACGCACAGGAACTGGCCGTTGTTGTAGATGCGCACGAGCAGATCGTGCAAAACTACGGTCATGGCCGACGAGCGAAGTTTAATGAGGGGCTCCTCGCCTGTGCCCAGCACAGGTGCAGTTTTCACCTCCGGGTAGACAGGATGATGGCGCTTGTAGTTCTTCTGTGTCCGGGGATTATGCTGGGCGGCATACGCCGAGTACAGAGAGCGATGGAAGTGGTACGTGGGCTTCTTTGTCTTCGACCACACCGCCAAGACGGCGAGCATCAGCAGAAATTGCAGCAGCAGGAAGCGGGACATGGCCATGGCTTGACGTGGGTCCAATAACTACCGCAAAACTGCTGGTCTCCCCCCGAGTAGGTCTAACCAATCACTTGGACACGCTCTCGTCCGTTGCGCATCCGTTTAGCATGGTTTCAAGCTGCAGGAAATTGATTGACCCTTTATTGCGACCAACTAAATATTCATTTAACCTGCTTAATGGCCAGGGCAAGAGCCGAGGGGGTTGTCGTCTGCATCGACTCATTGAAGGGACCCGTGCCCGTGAAGGCCCGCAGGGCATCCGTGGCCAGCTGGATGAACTTGATGGTGTGCCTCACGCCGAAATATATGTCCATGGTGTCGGTGTCCTCCTCCTCGTCGCAGTGCTCGCCAAAGATGTTAATCGCCGCCAGCTGATTGTCTATGATCAGCGGATCCCCGGGGCGGGTGTTGCAGGCCGATTTCACGGAATGCTTCATATTGCTCACGCAGTAGTACTCCGGCTCGAAGAGGAATTCCCGGAAGCCCAGCCCCTCGTAGGTGTGCTTGCAGCGCTCCATGTCCACCACCTTGGTGTCGTGGAGCGTTATCTCGTACTCCATGGGGTTCAGGAAGGCCATTCGGACACTGTCGCCCGCCTTGGGTATCTTGCGGTACAGCTTGATGTAGCGGTACGTATCGCGGTCCAGCTTCTTGGTCAGCGAGATCAGGGCGATGTCATTGGCCGTGCCGTTCTCCTTGTGGCCAGGCATGTAGAAGGCGTTCACCGCGTGCGGCACCGTCGTGGTGCGGTGACCAATGTCCGCGCCCGTCAGAACGTACATGTACTTGGCCTTGTACTCGCGCACCGGCTCCGTCGTGGGCGGCAGGAAGCAGCGCGCCGAGGTGATGATCATTCGGCGCGATATCAACGCCCCCGAGCAAAAGAGCGAGCCCTTGTAGTAGATGTGCACGTAGTAGGTCTTGTGCACTGCGGGATCGAATTCGTCTCTCGTTTTTGCCTCTGCCTCGTGCTCCATGTCGCGCTCCTCCAGCTGCGCGCGATTGTAGTTCACGTGATTCGCTTTGCTGTGCCCAGGATTGTAGTACACGGGCCGGTGGTAGTTCTCGTCGTACATCTTCACCCAGTTGGCACTGCTCCAGGGCAGGCCCAGCAGGAGCAACAGGTAAGTGCTTTTAAGCCACATGTCCAACCAAGATTGATATGGTTTCAGCTACGATCTCCCATCTCCGGCCAGCCATGGCTAAACAGATTTGGGGGGCGAACTAACAAAATTAGTTCCACTGGCACTCGTACTGCAGCAATATTAATTAAAATCTTTGATGGAAGCCATGTTTCACCTCTTTTTCTTCTTCTCATTCTTCGACGTTTGTTTCATTGTTTGGGCATTTTCATTTGCATTTTTTGCAGCATATTCCTGTGCGCCCCCGAACATGGACATTGGCCATTGCATATATCAGGGGTTGTACATAGCTGCACACATTGAATTATAAACCAGGCATCAATGGCTGTCATTTAACTCTTGCCTCTTGCAGACATCCTGGATATTCGCAGGCCAGCGCAGCACACCGACCGACCGGCTTTGAAAGGTATACGCAAGATGAGAAAAACCAGGCAGAGAAAAAAGCGACCGCCGTACAACGAAGGACATAGATAATTAATTTGCTTTGATTACAGTTGTCTGGGAATGGGTGGTCGATAGGGGGGTAGGGGGTAGGATGGGCAAAAAACGGATTCGGAATCTCTGGCTCTGAAGTGGACTGGCAGACGGAAATTGAAGTGTTTGTAATGTATGCGGAGGGGAACGGAAAGAAAACGGATGAGCCAAAGGCTTTTCCATCTGGCCCCTGGCGCCGTGAGCAAAAAAGTGACAGGAGAACCAGCACCAGCACCAGTCCCAGCTCCAGCCCAGTCCAGCGACGGCGGCAACGAGTGCGTCTAATTGATGGGCAGCCAAAGCCAAAGGACCTTGCTTCCATGCAAATGTGGCTCTGCATTTTGGAGGCCTGCTGCTGTCGGGTTGGGTTGGATCGGATCGGGTTCGCTCATCAATTATTTAAAATATGTTACACTTGGCACATAACTTGACTGACAAGCATATGTTCACGGGCCTGTAAGCCGAGTCAGTGCCCATAATAGCTGGTCATTATAGCTGGTTTATGGGATGACGCACAGGAGCCAGCAATGAAACTGGAGGCTGCCTACACACCTACACCTGCCTGACTGCTCGGAAAAAAAGGTCTGTGCCCCAACACATGTTACAGGTCCACTCCACTCCCATCCCTGCCCCTGGTCCTTGTGCTTGTCGAAATTTATGCGTACGTGCCCGGTTGAAAAACGTGGCCGACGACAACCCCACCTCGGGTCATTTATTATTAGCTGTAAAATGCGTGCCGCCTCGGCTCCTGTGCTGCCACCGAATTTAGTTTGGACTTTAGTTTGGCTCCTGAGAAGCGAGAGGGCCACATCTAATAAATAATCTCCATTTGCAGCAGAGGAAAGCAGACACAAAGGTACGAAATCTAAAACGAAACGAACTCCTAGGGATGGCTTCTCAGACTGTTTTTTTCGGTAAAGTCCATCTCCCTCTCTCTCTCTGTCTCCCTCCATAAGTATTTGAAACACACACTCGACTACGAGTATATATGCCATGGTCCATGGTCCAAGGGCTCGTCCATGGGAGGGCTTCGTTACTGTTTTATTCTGATGCTGTCGACGGCAAATTAAATGTCACTCACACGCCATGTAAGCCGAGCAAAGATTTTGCAGCTCATTATGCAGCATGACGCAATCAAAAACACAAGCATTGCCACATGGGGGGCTGCTGGTACGGGATGGAATGGAATGGTATGCAGTGTGGGACGTTGAGCTTATTTGAATTTACAAGTTTGCCAACGACTAATGGCAAATTCAATTTCGAGCAGAGAACGCTTTAAAAGCAATCAAAGGCAGGGCAGGAGCTGCTCCAGCTGCATCTCAGGCTCAGATTTGGCTGCAGGGTCAGCTGTGCATTCGTCTTACGCTCTTTGGACATGGACTCGGCAAAAGAGTGAGTTGCAATGGACACGAACTGCCGCCGGGGCGGAATGTGGCAGGAGCAGTATCAGTAGCAGCAGCAGCAGCGGGAGAAGAATCTAGAGCTTCAGTAGCGGTAGCGTCTTTGATTGCACTGCTGCCTGGTGCCGTGGCAGTGTTGGTGTGTGTGTTTCTCTTCTCCTGGCTGTCTTCTACTCAAGCACAGTTCGTTGCACATTTGAACATACCCTCGGAAAATAAATGCAAATTTAGCCATGGCAAACACAGCCAACACACACATTCGAGCACAGAGCACAGAGCACATTGGCCATAGACATGCGCTGTTCCTTTTGTTGCCGCCGTTGCACATTTCCCGAACGCGTTCGATCCACTACACTCCACTCCAGTCCACTCCACTCCTGTATTCCACTATATTCCGCTTTGGTCTGGTCTTCTGCCCTTCTCTTTCAACATATTTGTATAAATTTTCGATTTTCTGCTTCAATAGTCTCCCGGAGTTGTACTGCTCCGCTTCCGCTTCCCCTTACTCCACACAGTTCTCGCTCCTCTTCACTTTGTTTATGTCTCAAGAATTCAATATTTTTTTTAACTATTTCTCCTGTTTTTCCTCGCACATGCTTTGTTGTAGCTCTATTCCACCATGCATATATATATATATATATGTAGAGTATTACTGGCAGAGGATTGAGTACCGACAAACACACACTTCTGTCCGCAGCTGGATTGTCTTCATGCTCGTTTCGTCTCTGGAGTGCCTTTGATAATCCTGACGCACCTTTAAGCTGTACATTTTTCTGTGTTCGATTGGCAGACGAGCAGGAAGCTGAATTTATTGTATTTTCACTCTCACATTTTATATGCTCATTAAATTTTATTGCCCAGATATACATAGTTCCAAGTCGCTCACACAACGTGGCATAGAACTCGCTTGTGTTTTGGCATCTACGTGCTTAAACGCTGCCTGCTCCCGGTTGCTACTTAATGGCTAATTAGTGGTATAATTTACACCTTAATGACTCTACAACAATGCCCAGGCTGCTCTTTAAGCATGAGGCAAAGGCGAAGGCACAGCACCAGCAGCAGCAGGCAGGCAGCCACCAGCCAAGAAGCCACAAGCCAGCGGCACCCTAGCAACAAGGAGCAGGAGCTAGCTATCTGCTCGTAGTTTAATCCCAGCACCTTGTATGCCACACACCCACCCACCGCCTCCAGAGCAGGCTCGCGAGCAGCCATCAGACCTCAAGCCCCAGACCGTTCCATGGCTACATTTTATCGTAGAGCTCATATGGATGTGTTTTGCTTTATGTGCAAATCAGCGTCCATTAATAAAGACAGCCAGCGAAATGTTACGCATACGCCGCGTTGCATTAATCACAGCCAACGATATACATGAGAATATGCCTCTGTGTCTGTGTCTATGCATGCGTATGTGTATGTGTATGTGTATTCCATGCATGTATTGTGTGCGTAGTCCTGTTTCGGAGCGTGTTAATTTCATCGCAAATGCCTTTTTCAGTATGAAAATTTATGTATGCCATTTTAGACACTTTGATTTATGACCTTAACTCCGAAATGAATCGAGTTTTGTTGGATTATTCCCACCTCCACACTAGGCCTTGGCTTTGGCTGCTAAGCCAAAATTTCAGTGGGTTAATTTGCTATCCAAAGAGTAGTTTTGGCAAAAAGTTTAATACGAATGGGAAAACGAAAATATCTCAATAAATGGCAAAGCATTTAAAAGAATTAAATGCTGTAAATATGCAAGCCGAAATGTATTTCTTTGAAATATACTCCATCTCATCTAAATATTTTCCTTTAGTGGATTGCAAAATAAATTTAAACATTTTCGGACATTTTCCAATGCATTTTAAGTCTTCAAGTCTCATGCACATGCACACTGAAATTCCTTTTCAATATTTTAACCCCCCACCAAAAAGTAACTATAACTGATTGACTTGCATGCAAGGCGAGGCAGCAGAATGTTGTCACGCACTGTCACATATGAAATTGTGGAAAATGACACAGCTCGCACAATGCACACACCTGACACAACCTGTGCAGCTGACAAAGCCAGTGCTGAACCGTGGCTGAGAGGAGAGGAACACCGTGAGTCACCGTGCAATTTGCAAATTGCCATAAAGCTTGCAATTGTGTCAAATATTTTAATGCAATAAGAGTCACAGCGCGACAATATCCGAATGTTGAATGGCAAAGAGTAAATGGTAAATGATGAATGATGAATGGCGAATAGTGAGTGTGTAAATTCAAAGCACTACTCCTTGCTCTCCTGGTACGACGCTGCGTCAGCGATGATGATGATGATGGTGATGACATCAGCAGTCGCCTGACCAGCTACAGATTGGTGGGCTTTAAAGCCAAGTAGCTATCGCAGAACTTATCGCCTCGGCAATTCCGGCTAACAGATCAATTACGGGGGAGCATAAATCCGTTTAGAACCACAAAATCTAAGCGGCACCCACAAAAATAAAATAAAATCTCCTAGCAAAACTAAGGCAACCAGCGGCTGCTGTCGCGACTGGCAATTCAATTTTTTATTTTCTATATTTTATTTATGGCTCTTCAACATATCCGGCTATATCCCAGCAGCAGCAACAGGAACGGGAACAATCGGCAAAGCGTTAAAAAACAAGCGAAAATATTACAACATTTTAATAGCGAAAATTAAGATTTATTGCCCACGACGACGACGAGGACGGATGACGGCGCGACGCTGCCAAAATGTGCCGCAAAAAGTGGAGCGCTACTAAAAAGCGATCGAAAAAAAAAAACAAGCAGCTGACCAGCAATATTCAGCAACAATCAAACTGGGAAAAGTTTAAAGTAGTCGACTAAAGAAAAGTCTGTTTAATCTGTAAATATATTAAAGGAAAGGGAAGTCTCTCCATGATTGCAAGTCAAAAGCGGGATGAAATGGAGAGAAGCGAGAGGGGCATTACATAAATGTAGATATATGTACAGAGAGAGATATACCTTTGCTGAGCTAAAATGTCCAGGGTATCGTGAGCTGTGAAAAAAAGTGCAAAGTGTAAAAATCGCTGCCGCGTCACGTCACGTCAGCCGCATGATAGACCAGTCAGGGAGTTGGCCATCGCTTCCCGGTCCCCGGACTCTGACTCGGACCCCGACTCGGACAGTGG